TGGGGAGAGAGAGAGAGAGAGAGAGAGAGAGAAAGAGAGAGAGAGAGTCTACTAAACGCAGGACTTGTTTTGATGCTTTTTAACCCGTTCCTTTCATTCCCATCCTTCTGGTGTAAGCACAATAGCCCTCCCTCTCCGTGCCTCTCTGGAGTATTGAACCCCTCAATACCTTCTCTCCTCCAATTCCACTCTTGAGTCTCGCCTCCTAACTTAGAGAAGAAAAGCCTAGCAAACTTCCTTGAAGACATGAAGACATGTTGTGCGTTCAGCTCCCCCCCCACTTCAAAACGTGAGCTCGTTGTTGACAGTAATTGCCGTCCTTCAGATGAGACGTTAAACCAAGGTCCGTCGGCTTGTTCAGGTAGACGTTAATGATCCCATGGCACTGTCAGAAAAGAGAAAAGAGTTTCTCTCTCCTGGTGTCCTATCCAACAATCCTCCAGATAAATTGGTCATTTACCTTGTGTGGGACCTTGCTGTGTGTGTAAATTGGCTGGTGATGGCCAACAATAGTCTCTCTACCTGACAGCAGTTTCCTGTAAGACCTTTTGATCTTCCAGATGCTGTTTCAGACCCGTTGAGCACTAAATGCGCCAGTGATATCCCACAGACCCCTACGAGGAGAGTAATGGATCAATCTAGGAGATTGTCGGCCAGGACACCAGGAGAGAACCTCTCTTCTTCTTTCCGATAGATCTTAAACGTCTGCCAACCTGAGGGGCAGGCACTGACGCTGTGAACTATAGGTTAACTTTGTCTGTTCTCAGCCTCGTGCACTGTTAGATCGGCCATGATCTTATTAAAATGTTGGAACAGGTTCGAGGGGCTGAATGGCCTACTCCTGTTTCTATGTTTCTACGTTAGCTTGGGAATAGATTCTCATCAATCTTCTGAGTTGGGTTAACAGCGCGGGTGTGTGTGTGAACATGTGTGTGTGTGTGTGTGTGTGCGTGTGAAGAAGAATACAAATTGCATTTGTATGGCGCCCTTCATGTTGGTAGCGTCTCGGAGCCCTTAACAGGGTTGTGGGTTTGACGCTGAGCCGGAAGGAGAGGGGAGGCGACCGAAAGCCCGATGTGATTTGAAGATGGGCAGAGGGGAGGTAAGACGGAGGGATTGATGCAACAACAATAACAACAAGATTACATTTGTATAGCCCCTTTCACGTCGGGAGGATGTCCCAAGGCGCTAATGCAGGGAGTTCCAGTGAATAGTAACTGAAAGCACGGCCACCAAAGGTGGAGCAGAGGTTACAAGGACATTTAGCAGACCGACTGAGGGAGACGGGGGATGTAGGGTGGCTAGTGGAGTGGAGTGTGAGCAGGTCGGAGAGGTAGGGAGGTACTGGGCATGAAGTGGTTTGAAGGTGAGAGTGAGGATTTTGAAATCAATCTGTTGTACGAAAGGGGGCCAATGGAGGCTGACAAGGACTTGGGTGATGGGAGAGCCTAGCCTGGTATGGGTGAGGACACGTGCAGCAGAGTTTGATACCATTTGGACCTTGTTTACAGTGGAGCTGGGGAGACCAGTGAGGAGTGCAGAACAGGGGAGCAATAATAAATTGCATCGGGGTGGGGGGGAGCAATAATCATCAGTGAAGTGTGTGTTTTACCTCTGTAGTGCGGACCGTTCCCTCAGGATAGATGCAACAGCTGTGCAGTACACACCTTACTGGTATAACCCTCCACACAACTAGTGCATAGTCCACCTGTCATAGTTGTTTGGAACAAAAGGGACCAGGAACAGGGAGTAAGTAGAGGATTTAAAGGTGCAGGAGGAGAAGGAGGGACAATAATAGCCATGGGGGAGGAATAGAGCCTTTGTTCACAGTCTGGACAGGACAGGAGCTGCTGAACTGTGTGAGCACTGTACATGGGCTGTCCATCTCTCTGCGTGTCATCCAAACCATCCCTCCAATTTCACTGTGAGACTGCGCTGTCTATAGTGAACACACACTCGCGCTCAGTCACACACACTCAGTGACACACACTCGTGCTCATTCACACGCTCTCTCCTTAACTCTCTCTATCTCTCGGTGTCCCTCTGTGTCTCACACATAACTCTCTCACACATAACCATTCACAAGACAAGGAGAGGATGGGAGACCCTCGGAAAGTAAATTCCTCTTAATAAAGGGGAAGGTGTGCACGGGGTCGTCCACATAAAACCTTTTGTAACTGCAGAGGGTGGTGTAGCGTGAAACGGGGCTCCTGCAAAGAAGCTTCCTTCCTGTCAGCTCTTGGGGGCCGTTAGTCTCAGTTGGGTTGATTGAGGTGTGAAGAGACCCACTTCCCTGGAGTTTCTATCCGGGCTTGATAATGGAGAGCGGCTTTACAGCACGTCTGAAACACCAAAACATGCGATCTTGCCCCCCTCCCCCAAACCCTCTCCATGAGTGTGCCCCCCTGAGCTGGCACAGGCACGACGTGCCAGCTGTTTTCCCCCCCCAACCCTCCAGCGCTGTAAGATTGTCCAAATCCATTTGCCCGCGATTCCCACCATTCCGGCAGGTGAGGGGTTAATCTATCTGTGCATAATTTGTGCTGAGCTCCGTTACCCACGCGAAAAAAAAATAAAATATCCATACCCGGGGACTAAATGAACAAGAGCGTCTGAGATGCCGCCTTGCGCTGCCCGGGAGATGGGTTAACCCTCAGTCGAGCGAGCGACGGCAGACATTTCCTCAGTCAAAAGGGATGTGGAGGCTTAAAATGGCTGATGTGCAGCAACACAGCCAAGCACCTTGCCTGGCATACAGTGAGCAGCCTCGGCTGTGTGCTTAACCTGCTGTCAGGATTTCCTTTCCGGGCAGGTAAACGGCCTGTGTTTTGGTGTGTGTGTGTGTGTGTGAATGCGTGTGAGTGTGAGTCCAGCTCAGCCGCACATCCCGTCCCCGCTCAGAGACACCTGATTTAGCCTCTCGTTCCCTCCCCAAAAGTTGGCTCTTGACGCAGCAATAAAATAACTTGTGCCGGAGTTATAATTTTTTTTCTCTCTGCTCCGCTTCTGAACGACCTTATCCTGATGTGCCCTCTCCTTGTTTATTTGATTTAAAATACTTTGTACAGAGCGCAGCAGATTAAAAAAAACCTCGACACACATTTGCACCCTTGGGACTTCCAATTTACTAACGTGCGATAACTCCTGTGTGTTTTGGGTTTCACTCGTGCCGTGAAAGCCTCTTTGGGGAGGAGGGGGTGGGGAGGAGGGGGTGGGGAGGAGGGGGTGGGAGGCGTAGATATTTAAGTACTTTACCCTTCCCGCTCCTCATTATTTGACATCCGTTCCCCCATTTTTGTCTGGAGTCCAGCAGCCCTGCTCTGACTCCCGTGTCGATGTCAATGACCCCTAGGCATCAACTGGCAAAAGATGCCAGGAAGTGCTCGTGTGTGCGTGTGTGTGTGTGTGTGTGTGTCCCACCCCCCCACGTCAGGACTTTGAGCTCCCGCTGCAGTGCTGGGGGTGGGGAAGCGCTGCATTGTCGGAAGTGCTGTCCTTCGGATGAGACGCTAACCCAAAGTTCCATCCGTGCTCTGTTTAGACGGACGTTAAAGATCCCGTGGCGCAGTTGGAAAAGAGAGGGAAGTTCTCCCCTTCTTAAGCGCTCCGAGATGCCGTCCAGCGTAGAGGGCGTTGTTGTCCTGGCTGACAACAACAACAACAACAAGATTCCATTTATAGAGCGCCTTTCACGTCGGGAGGACGTCCCAAAGCGCCAATCAACTGCGGTGTCCCTGGTCCTCCCCATCGTGTGGTCTCTGTTAGTAAAGGGATCTGCTCTTTGGGGTTGGCACGTGCTCCTGATGTGAAAGGCTCTACACAACTGTCACTTTTTGTTGTTGTTGAGAATAGTAACCGAGCTCAGCCTGGCCCACACCTCACACAGTATCTCCAGCTGATAATCTGAGCACACAGGGAGCAGAGCAGGATCCGGATAAAGTGACTACCAGTCCGGTAAAGGAATAGATAGAACGCACTCTCTATTCGTCAGTGGTACAAACTCGACTATGGGGGAACCCTCCTCTCTCTCTTTCTTTCTTCCTTTCTTTCTCATTTCCTTATATTTTTTGGCTCGTCGTGAAATGTTTTTCCCTGAATTAACGGCACTTCCTGTTGCTCAAAAGCAGCCTGAAATTTGCCTCAGTGGGACCATTGTGTCTTGAAACTTGTGGCGGCAGAATATCATAGTATCAGAATCATGTTATCGTAGAATCATAGAATCTTACAGTATAAAAGGGGGATATTTGGCCCATCGTACCTGTTCTGGTTCTTTGAAAGAGCAAAGAAGGGGTTGGAAGGAAACAAGTGAATGGGACAAGTTGGGTCGTAGGAGCAATAAGATAGGACATTTTGGTGGAATCGTGTCAATAATAAAGAGAGATAATAATATAATAATGCTTGCCATATGATGTAGCACCTTGCCATGTTGTTGAGATGTCTCAAAGCACTTCACAGAATATACTATAAAGGGGGTTGACTGTTTTTTTGTGGGCGAAACGACAGAACAATAGCATGCCGGTTAGAAGTACGAGAAGGTTGTGTCAGACAGAACATTTCCCACCCTTTCCAACTCATCCAAACTTTGCTTCCCTTCTCTCAGGAAGCCTTGGCAATAAGTCAGACCATCAATGTTCTGTGGTCAGACAGGTAAAACATCTTGTTGACTAATGGGTGCAAGCATCAAATTTGATGGGAGTCTGTACTCGCGGGTTTGAGGCATGGGACAGAGCGAGGGAGCAGTTAAATCAGATCCAATTCAGATCAGCATGATCCCAATTGGAAAGGATCAATAGGGCTGTCTGTGTCTCTCTCCTCTGCTGGCTTAATGGGAGCCTTGAGCTCCAGTGGCCTATAATGGAGTGTGTTTTGACTGGTGCTTTTGGAGTGTTAGATTGTTATTTGGTCTAGTGGGTTGGCAGCCTTGTCGCATTGTAAAAACATCAAATATTTACACTAATCACCTCCCTCCCCCTCTCTCCTTCTCTTTTCTACTCTTTCAGCAAAGTCTAGAGGCCTTAATGCAGACACAACAATGGTGAGAAGATGAGGAACCCTGTGGAGGAGCCTGGCTGGGCTGATTCAGTTCCTGCTGAATGCTAACCCAGGTGCCTTCATTCCCCACGGCAATTAGTCATCAGCAGATAAACCAGGCCATAAAGGTGAGAATTTCTCCATCTGTCTTATCGCGTTTTGTTACAGAGTTACCTGAACGAGAGGTAATTTAACATCGCGCTTCCTCTCAATTGGTCACTCACTCACTCACTCACTCAATCCCCGACTGTTTGTGGGCAATTGGCTGCTGTGTTTTGCCCACAAAATATAAATATTACATGAATTTGATGTCTTGTCGCATTAAAGCGCTTCACAGGCAATTGTTGTCAAGTATAGTGACTGTGTATATGTAGGCAATATGTAGCCGTAGCCCCACAGACTGCAATGAAAGCTAACTGGGGGGTATTGTTGGCAAGAACATCGGGAGACAGAAACTCCCTTGTCTTTTCTAATCGTGTTGCGGGATCTTTAACGTCCACCGGAACAGGTACAGATGAGGCCTCCGTCTAACGTCTCACCTGACGTATGTTGGTTCTGACAATGCGATGTGCTCCTGTGCTCCCCCCCTCACCCACCCACCCACCCACCCCCAAAGCTCTGCACTGGAGTGTCAGCCTGGATTGTGAGTTCAAAATCCTGAGGCGGTGGATGTTAATGATAGTCCCCATGCTGGGATTTATTGGCTTGCAAGGAAGTTCCTTTGGAATTGTCCGCAATGAGCTTCTGTAAACTGTCCCAAATCTCTACAACGAGGGAATGATGGAGAGAGACCCTGATAGCTGACTGAACTGAAGGTATTTATAAGTCCTGCACTGCTCAGACAATTGAGTGACGTTTCCTGCTCTGATTTCCCGTCGTGCGAGGTTCCTGTGTTGTCACTACATGTCCAGCTATTGTCTAAAGAGCCTTACACTGCGATCTCCTTTGAAGTGACAGACCTGCAGATAAATGAGCCCCTCTCCTCTCCCCCACCACCCCCTACCACCGAAAGTCATAAGTAAACATATTATTTAGGCTGTTTTTTTAAAAGATATTATTATCGTGAATCTCCAACCTGCTGAATGTCTCCAGGGGACACGAATAGTCTTTCTCTTTCACTTCCCTTAGCCTGAGGTTTGTCCAGCTCTGCCCTGTGTGAGATCAGCCATTTCAGCGTCAAGATGAACGGGAGGAGTCCTGTAACACAGTGGTTAGTGCGCTTGCCTTCCAAGCGAGAGGATCCGGACAGGACTGAACCCTAGACAAGTAATAATAATAATAATAATAATAATCCTTGCATTTGATATAGTGCTTTTCACGTCTTCTCGACGTCCCAAAGCGTTTCACAGAATATACTGTAAAGTGAATTGACTGTATATTTGTGGGCGAACCGGCAGCCAATTGCGCACAGCAATGTCCCACAAACAGTCGTGGATTGGAAATGACCAATTTATTATTGTTTTGTTTTGGAGGGATTATTAAAGGGATTATTAAAGTTTCCTTACTCCACACGCCTCTGTTTACCCAGCTTGTTGCTTGATTGGCGGATCGCTTTTTCTGGAGCGTAATAATCCTTCCCCCCCCAAAAAAATGTGGTCACTCAATCCGCGACTATTTGTGGGACGCTGCTGGGCGCAATTGGCTGCCGCGTTTCACCCACAAAATATACAGTCACTTCCTTTACAGTATGTTCTGTGAAACGCTTTGAGACGTCTCGAAGACCTGATGAGGAGCTGTATCAAATGCCAGGATTATCCTTAAACCTGCTGCTCTGAAAGGCACAGGAACACCTGGGTTCAGTGATACACTCACTGGGGAGCAAATCTCTCTGCTTCCTGCCATCGGAGTCTAACATAGACACAAACATGTTTATCACAGGAGGTCACTCAGTCCATCGTGTCCTTGCCACAGCTGCTGGTTTTTCAAACTTGTCCTTTTTATCATTCCCCCCCACCTTTCCCCTCTCTCCCCTCCCCTCCTCTCTCCCACATTTCCTAATGGTTTTATTGCTCAGGTACTCTAGCCACTTCCCTTCCGAGTAATACAATTGATCCGGTCTCAATAGCTACGTGTGGCAATCAGTCCCACCCCCTAATAACCCTGTGAGTCAGCACACTATGGTCACCAATTCTCCAACAGAAGGAAATAAGTCTTTCTCTGTTTCTAACCTTGTCGTATCTCTTCAGGATTCCTGAAGGATCCGACTCGCTCCCACCTCTCTATTCAGCTGTGCGCACTTGGCTCCCGCGTTTTGCACCACAAAACACATGGTTACTCCACTTTACAGTATAAGGCGCTTCCTGTGAAGTCCTTTGAGACGTCTCAACGATGTGACAAGTCGCTATGTCAACCACAAGGATTATGGTTCATATTTACCGAGCCTCACTTGGTACCAGTACCCGGTATCGTCCAAGTGAAATCTTGAGGACTGGGAGAGGACAGTGCGTGAACTTGTCACATTCTACCCTGTGGAGGATACGTGCGCTCTCTCTCTCCCTGACGCTAGCTCTATTCCGCATGCGCGCTCGCTCGCCAGTCTCAAGTGTAGATTACCCGAGCTTGGGTTGGCTACGGTGTAATTACACGATTGGGTTTCCAGGCAGGTGTGTCCTTACCTGGCAGGTTCTGAGACCCCCCCCCCAGAGCCAAGCTTTCATTCAAGCGAGTGAAAAGGCGAGTTACAGTTACACCACGAAGCCGGTGTGGGAACCAAACCCGAGATTAGCTCATCAGCCTTTTGTACAAAGTACTGTTTCAATTATGAATAAGACACACACGGCTGAGCTGTGTGGACACATAGTCACAGCTACGATCTGCTGTGAGGTTCTTGCTCTCACCTGGAGCAATGAGTGGAGCTATAACTGGCCCCAGCAAACCCCACCCCCGTCCACCCACCCCTCTTCCCCTGACTCAGGGACGGGCAAAACAGCCAGGATTCATGTTCCTGCAGATTCTGAGACTATTTCGCTCATGAAAATAGACAGTCAATTCACTTTACAGTATATTCTGTGAAGCGCTCTGAGACGTTGTTAATACTTGATAAGGATTACTATTACTGCTGGCAGGGCAGCCAGCTTGGCTGATCTGCAGGACCGTAAAGGGCAAACCAGTTAAGGGTAGGAATTCCTCCAACCCAGCTCCTGTTAGCCCTGCAAGCCACAGCCCTAACGGGTAGCGTGGTCCCAGCTGGACAAGCAGCAGGAAAGCTTGCCGGAGATGGGCAAAGACATCAGGTGATGACAGGCGTCAGGATTGAGAGATGTGACCCATTCCGTGGCATCACCAGCACGGACTGGTTGGGCTGAATGGCCTTTTTCATGTCGTCTCCCGCTGTGTAGCTCTCTTATGTCAGTTCGGGTGTAAGGTACTAGTGTCATAGCACCAGTGGAGTCTTATTCCAGCGAGATAGAGAGAGCGCGAGAGAGAGGGGGGGGGGGAGATCCGAGGAGGGTACGAAAACTAGAACTCTTAATATGTCAGTCCAAAAAACATTTGTCGGTCCAATAAAAAATAATCCTTGCATTTAATATCATGACGGCCAATTGCGCACAACGCAGCAGTGGACGGGACCTCCTGGGACTTGGGTTGTTCAGGCTGGTGGAGTGACCGTATCCTGTCTTTCCCCCGGAAGGGGCCAAGGATGCAGTCCCTCCAGTCTAGACAGCAGCCTCTGACCAGCCCAGGATACAGACTTTTTTTGCAACTGATCTATCTATAAATCCCAGGGAATCGCTCTCCAGTCTTCACATGAACTCAAGATTGTGGGACACCCTTCCCTCCCTCCCTCCCTCCCTCCCTCCATCCATCCCTCCTCCCTCGTTACATTCCCATCCCAATCCATGGCTGCCCTTTCTCCAGTCTTCAGCCTAGCTGGTGTCCTGTACATGGGAGTCCGAGGTAACTCTGTGTGTAAACGTAATTGTTACTCCTCAGTATACTTTCTGACCCTAAACTGCGGCGGTCTCGAGGGATTTTAACAGCATAACCAGCCCCTTTGTGAGGCCGGAGAAGAGGGATAGTGGCCCCTTTGATAGCTACCTCCATGTAGTTTGGTTAATTAATCAAGGCAGTAAGGGTAGGGTATTGAGTGACACCGTTGTATATGAGGCATATCTTATTTATTATAGGCACAGAGCCAGAGATTGTATCCTTTCTTCAGCCTTACTTACATCACCCGTAACCAGCTCTGAATGCTGAGCTGGGCCCCATTTACGTAGAGCACGATGTATGCATTACTCTTTGCCAATAGCAGTCTCTCAGTGCCCTTCCCACCACACTGCAGGCCCCACTCCGCAGCCCACCCACTCAATTGTTCCCAAGCTTCTCCTTTCCTGTCCTTATAATAATAATAATAATAATAATAATAATCCTTGCCTTTGATACAGCGCCCTTTCACGTATTCGAGACGTCTCACAGTGCTTCACAGAATATACTGTAAAGTGAATTCACTGTATATTTTGTGGGCGAAACCCGGAGGCCAATTGCGTACAGCAGCGTCCCACAAACAGCCGTGGATTGAGTGACCACCTTATTATTATTTATTTATCGCATATGTTTATTTGAAGGGATTATCACCCGCTGGCCAAACAAAAAGAGAGGAGTTCTGGGCGGAGGGAGGGCAGCTTGGCCATCATGTGCCAAGGAGCGGCTTGACCTCGCCACACTCCCTCACTGGCTCGAACCGGGTAGAGAATGGGCACAAGGGTGAGGGAATCCCACCAACCGTTTGTGCCGGTGAATGAGAGGGAACCGGCGGGGAAAAAATCTCAAAAAACCCCGAGTTGACTCAATGCCACAGTGAGGCGGGCGCACATCTTAAGAATGAGGTTGCGTTCAGTTTTCCTTCGTCTGTTTGGGCGTTTCCTTTTGTCTTAAGATATTTAAGTCTTAAGTGGCTTGGGTTACAGCGATTCTTGGCTCGTCTCTCTCTCTCTCTTTCTCTCTCCTCCTCTCTCCCCCCCTCTCCTCTCGCTCTCTATCTCTCTCGATCGACTCGGAGCCAGCGCCCTTATTGGCAGAAGTTGATGTGATGAGGTGATCGCCTGTCCTGGGACCAGGGCGTGTTTCCTGACCTTACTGTTTTCCTATTCCTTTTTATTAATTTCCTTTTAAGGAGCAATACTCACACACACGCACGTGCACACACACCGATCTGGAACTCACTCGACACTTTGTTTAGAGAAGGTTTGAGGGGAGAGGAAAGAACATGCGTGTGTGTTTGTGTATGCACGTTCTTATGCACACTCACGTACAAACTCCCATATGTGTGTATAAGCACATACGTACGCGCACATGCGATTGGGTTTGTGCATGTGCGTATGCACAGCATGCACGCAGACACGCATTGTGGACACACACACTGTACACACACACTGTGTAAATACACACAAACACGCAGCTGGGAGCAGAGTGAGCGATGTGTGCACACACACACACAGACACACTCCGCCATGTCCTTGCTGAGGTTGCCCCTGTGCCAGGCTGAACGGAAGGACATGATTTCTTTTCAGGCTGTGCTATCTGCTGATTGATCAGGAGAGCGGCAGAGGCTGCTGTGAAACCGCACAGCGTCCTCAGCACTGATAAAGCACACGCAGCGAGATTAGCCAAGCCACCCCTCGTCTGGGATATTCAGAGACTGAATTGGATTAATCTGAATAACCGATTACAGAAGAAAAATAAAAACGTCCATATAACTAGTTCCCACTTGAATGTCGAGCAGGTCAGTGCAAATCTCTCGATGCTCAGTAAACTCTGCAGGTGAACAGTTTTTTTTTTGCTTTTACCTATTTGGTGGCTTCGGTGACGATTTCTAATTGCGATTGTTTCTCTCTCGGGTTTCCCGGTGCAGGTCGCCTTGCAGCAGAGAGACTCGCGGTACAAGGACCAAAGCGATTGCCCGCAGGTCAGTGTTCGTAAACTTGCTTCAGAAACTTTGATTGAGTGCAGACATGATTAGCCAAAATCCCTTCTTCTGTGCAGTAAATTTCTGTGGTTCGATGGTTCTATGGCAGAGGAATTGCCACCTATGGCTTGTTGGGTAACGATAGACTCTCGTAGGCCAAATCCATGACTGTCCAGCGCCTTGGGACGTCCTCCCGAAGTGAAAGGGCTGTGAAAATGCAATTTTGTATTGTATTGGAAGTGGCTGTGTTGAGTGCCCGATCTCACTAGCTGGGGCCTATCAATTGCAACCTTTTTTTAGAAGAGAAGAGAAGAGTTTCGCTCAGTTAATGAGTTCCCGGATTAATATTCATTCGTGAATACGAGTCACAGAACTCACAGCTGTGCTGGGTACAAATGGCTGCCAGGTTTGCCCTCAGAACTCAGTCACCTTGTTACTGGCCGTGTTACAGACGTGAAGCACCCAGACTGAGACTGACGTGCAACAGTGCCATAAAAGTGCAAGTCGTTCTCTTTGATGTGCGATGATTGTGACGTGATCACGGGCGCTTTATAACCAGTGAGTGATAATGAGGGAATGTTGCAGCCAAGTTGATTCCAGCGACCTGTCGCTGAGACTGTGGGGATCCCTGGTAAATAAGCAACCGAGCAGCAGGTGTGAGGTTGGAAGCCAGCGAGCGATCTAATCTTTAATCAGCCATTACCACCCGGGCTCTTTGTACATCAACAGGTCAACTGGGGTGACTGTAAAATTAATAAACTGACTTGGATTTGAAAGGGAACCTTATCCCATGGAATGTGGCCCTCTTCACACAACGGATTAGCGTTTTGACACCGGCTTGCGTTGAGGGAATGCTTATAATAATAATAATAATAATCCTTGAATTTGATACAGCGCCTTATCATGTCCTTGAGACGTCTCAAAGCGCTTCACAGGATATACTGTAAAGTGGAGTGACTGTATTTTGTGGACCAAACGCAGCAGCCAATTGCGCACTCAGCAGTGTCCCACACACAGTCGTGGATTGAGTGACCCAATTAAATAGTAATTGGCGGGTGACCGAAGGCACGATCGAAGAGGAGGGTCTTGAGATGGGCACTGAAGGAGATAATGGAGGGACCGATGAGGAGGGGCTGTAGGATGGAGTTCCAGAGGATGGGAGCAGAGAGGCTGAAGGCCAGACCTGAGCCTGGGGCCTTGCTTGTCACCGTGAGTGAGTTTCACAATAAGCGGTGCCTTTGCCAATTGAGGCGGGCCAATGATTAGTGTCATTGATCCTGACATTGGACTCTCATCTCACCCCCCCACCACCCACCCCTTCCCTCAATCCTCCACCCCCACACCTCCCTGCCTCCCTCGCTCCTCTTTAAACAGCACGTAGATTTGGATGATATGATTGGGTTAAAAGTCAGTGCCACAGACAGCTGGCGTGCTGGACAGATTAATCTGATGTGAATAATGGTCACTCGTGATTTTCTCAACATCAGAGGGATTATGTTGTGTTGTGCGCAGCTCCCTAGCCTGACATATGGCGACTTACCACGGTGTTAAAAATCAGGAATTTATCCCCCGCTCTGGCTGATGTCTCTGTGCTCGCTGTGTGTAACTGCGATCACACCAGCTCCGCCAAATCACCAGACAGCTTTGCGCAGCGCTAGTTAAATGGATTCAAGCTCCATTGTTCCAAGAACCTCATGTCCGGATCGAGAGCTATTTTGGATCCTTTATCCCACATTTTCCCATCTTATCCCCGTTCCTTGTCTCTCTCTATTTCCCGGGAGCGAATATTGCGCTCTCTTAATGGGAGTGAGGGCGAGGGTGGTGGAGGGGGGAATGTTACAGCTGGTCCACTTCCTCTTATGTGACACACCGGTCATAGCTGATGACGGGTGTTAATGATGATACAGTTACAGCATTGAGGGAGGCCATTCAGCCAAGCAAGTCTGTAATCTCCCCCATTTTGGAGTCCTGTAGCTCAGTGGTTAGAGCACTCGCCTCGCAAGCGAGAGAACCTGGGTCTGATTCCCAGGCAAGGCGAAACGTTGGGCAAGTTTCCTTACTCCACAGAATATACAGTCAATTCACTTGGCAATATATTCTGTGAAGCACTTTGAAACGTGTCGAAGACGTGATAAGGCACTATAGCAAATGTAAGGATTATTATTATTATTGTTGTTGGAGCCATCCACTCGAGTCCTGGTTCCTTGCTATTTCCCTGTGTGTACAGTTTCATTGTCTCCTTCTTCTGTTTTGAGGCTGTGTGCAAATTGGCTGCATTTTACGGTATGGTACAGTATACCCTGTGAGCATTTTGAGCCATCCTCCGCTATGCAAAATATAAGGATTATTATATTATGTTGAAGATTTAAAATATCGGCCCTTCACCAGGCGCTGGTGTATGTATGTGTGTCTGTCCGTGTGTCTCAGCTCGAGCAGCTCAGGGCTTTAGAGAAGGCTGGCCTGTCAGACGATGACGGATTTGCTTATTACAGTGGGATTGAGGCATCCCAATGCACAGACAGCAACGTTAACACAGGCAATCTATCACACAGTCTCCTGCAGGCACTGAAGTGGAGAAATATAGAACGGGCTCTCGCACTTGCGGGAGTGGGTGTCTGTGAGTGCCCTGACCCTCTTGCTGTGTGCGCATATTTTATGGCGATCTGGATTGTGTGCGAGGATCTGCAGATTTATGTCTGTGTGCGTCTCTGGGGTCTCTTAAACCCTCTTAAAAACTTCTCTCTCTTTGACCGTGCCTTTAGTCAATAACCCTAAATCCGCCCTCCACTCCTCCACGTGAAGCACTTTGAGATATTCTTCCGATGTGAAAGGTCTTGGTTTATATTACCTGTACACTTTGTCTTATTCTTATGTTTTTGTTCATGTGTGTAACTGTGTGTGTGTGTGTGTGTGTGTGTATTGATTGTATCTGTATTGGGCGCATTGCTTATTCATCATAGAACTATACAGCACAGAAGGAGGCCATTCGGCCCATCGTGTCAGTGCCGGGTCTTTGAAAGGAGCTACCCAAATCAATCCCACTCCCCCTTGCACATGTTTGCGCGTGTCTGTGTGTGAGCGCATGCATATTTTATTGTGTATTTATGTGAGGATGCGCGTGTGTACAGGTGTGAGTCTATGCACATCTCATTAGTATATCTGAGTGTGAGTATGTGCCTGTGCAGGTGTGTAGGGTCACATTTATAAGTCTTACAGTTATGTCGAAACTTCTCTCTTGTATCCCTCACGAAAGCTGAGGTTTTAAGCGCTCCGAGACACTACCATGCGCGGACGGTGTTATATGAATGCAAGTTGTTATCGTTGTAGGATGGTCCTAGCTGGATGAGCAGCTCTGTCGGTGCTCTGTCTCAATGGTAAGCTCTGCGGATTTTAGCTCCTTACCCCAACGCACACTCTGAGGTCACCAAGCCTTGGCTCTCACCAACCTACACCTAATGCTCTCTGGAATTAGGCAAGCAGGGTGCGTCCCTCTCCTGGGTGAGGGAGAGAGAGAGAGAGTGCATTCCATTCCAGACACGGGAGATTTATGGGTGGTGGACATACATACATGGAACATTCAGTCTAGTTTGGAAACTTTTCTAGAAGGTGTGAAAAGCGCTATATCAAATGCAAGGATTATTATTATTATTATATTATTATTTTAATCATATCAATGGGTTTGCACCGGAGTCAGACAGAAAACAATCATGCACAAATCGGTTGCTGCGTTTGCCAGTAAAGCACCACGGACACTTGTTACGCTTGACAACAATTCCCTGCAAAGTATTTTTGAGACTTTTCTGCGCCACTGTGCGGGGCGCTGGATCAGTGAATGGGAGGGTCGTTACGGTGTTCAATTAACATCCCTCAAATCAAAATCACGCAATCTATCCCGCAGCAATCATATTTCACGTGGATCTCGCTAAGATATCCATCCAGCTGTCTGTTTAAAAGCAGCAGACAAATTAGCGTCCTGAAATGATAAATGGGGTCACGTGAGCTGTTTATTCTCCCCCTCTGACGTGACTGGTATATAAATGACGTTCTTATTGCTTTGCAAACCCACAGCCCTTTTATAAACGAGCTGATGCCACAGAAACTCGGGAGGGTTTTTTTTTTCGCCTCCGGACAAGCAATTGTCAGGTAACAAGGATGGTCTAATGCGCACGGTGCTGTGAGATCAATCACTGCTCACGAGGAGGGAAGAGACATCACGGCGCTGGCGAAATTGTCACTCAAGTGCTAAAGTGGTTGGCAGGGCAGGGAAGGCAAGGGAGCAGGTGTTAAACTCCGTCTGTCGCTTGTGGCTGGCTCAAAATGGAACGCACTGTGTTAGCTCACTGTGAAAAGACACTCAAACTCTGGCACCGGGAGCACTGAGGCCTCCCGTCCCGCTGAGGCGGCTTCATAACAACAATAATAATATTAATGATAATGATAATAATCCTTGCATTTGATATCGCGCCTTATCATGTCTTTGAGACGTCTCAAAGCGCTTCACAGCGCTTTACTGTAAAGCGAATTAACTGTATATTTTGTGAGCGAAACACTGCAGTCAATTTCGCACAGCAGCGTCCCACAAACAGTCGGTGACCAAATATTTTTTGGGAGGGTTTATTATCTTCGAAAGAGCGGTCCACCAATCGACTAACAACCAGGTTCCTTACTGCCAGGTAAACAGAGGAGTGTGTTGTAAGGAAACTTGCCTAAGGTTTCGCCCCTCCCGAGAACCGAACTCAGGTCCTCTCGCTTGCGAGGCGAGCGCTCTAACCACCACACGACACGACTCCACGATAAAAGGAGAGTGAATAAACCCAGCGACCCAGGAATCCTTAAGGATTCTCACGCCTTGTGCAGTTTGTGTAAGTGATGTGCTGGCGCTGCAGCATCTTTTCTTATCAGGGAATTTGTTTAGCTTTTGGGGGAGAGAGTTCCGGATGTTCATTACCCTTTCACAAAGGCTGTGGATTATTGCTGGATCCATTCAAATTTTCAAGACT